CTATAGTTCAGGTGTACTTTCTATAGTCCAGGTGTACTTTCTATAGTCCAGGTGTACTTTCTATAGTCCAGGTGTACTTTCTATAGTTCAGGTGTACTTTCTATTGTCCAGGTGTACTTTCTATAGTCCAGGTGTACTTTTTATAGTTCAGGTGTACTTTCTATAGTTCAGGTGTACTTTCTATGGTCCAGGTGTACTTTCCAGGATAAAATACAATAAACATGTTAAGATAGAAATAATTACAAATACAGACTATCCATTTGAAGAAATGCAGTAAATTTTGCCTCCTGCAGTCTGAGCCTATAGCAACAGAAGTAAGGGCTAGCTCGGGAAACCCAAGCAACCCTAACTATAGGATTTATCAAAAAGGAAAGTCTTAAAACTGGACAATGTGTCAGCCTCACGGACAGAAACTAGAAGTTGGTTCCAAAGGAGAGGAGCCTGAGAACTGAAAGATCTTCCTCCCATTCTGTTTTTAGAAACTCTATGGGATCCACAAGTAAACCTGCAGTCTGAGAGTGAAGTGCTTTGTTAGGAAAATATTGAAGAGTAAGATCTCGAATATAAGATGGAGCTAGGTTGTTGAGAGCTTTGTAGGTTGGAAGATTTTGAATTAAATTCTGGACTTGACAGAGAAGCTAATGGAGAGAAGTTAAAACTGGAGAGAGATGATCATTAAACTAGTGGCAGTAATATACAATTTGTGACCGTGTTGTGTAACAATTGAAACTGGCTGCAATTAGATTTAAATCTGAATCTAAATTAGATGGTTGATTAAATTGAATTGGATGTTTTAAAGTGCTAAACATTTAGGAAGTAACTTGTTGGAAAACCAGACAGAATCACATCCAGTAAATGTGCTGAGTAAAAACTGAATGTTGGATCTTTCCCATCTTTAGATTTTGTGCTTTAAGAAGGAAGTTCTTCTGCAGGAGCCAGAGTTTTAGGTGCTGAACCTTTCAAAGTTCTCCTGCTCTGCTTTCTGACTCATTACTTTGCTCCCAGCTGTCTCATGCCACCAGGTGATTGAAATGCACCCGTCTGCAGCCTCAAGTACGCATGTCATAAAACCGGGGGGGGGGGGGGGGGGGACACTGAGGCAGCCTTTATTTTACTGAACACAATTCTTAATGATACCATGGGTTATCTCTGTAAAATGAGCGCTTGATCAGATCCGTTCGGTGATTTTTCTTTTCCTGGAGGACATGATGTCTCCCAGAACATGTTTTTATCTGAGGAGCACATGTTGCAGAGAGATTCAAAATGAATGATCAGAAATAAACTATGGCACAACACAATATATGATCAATGTATTTGGGATCTTGTCTGGAATGTCTAGAGATCACTTTAAAGCAGGTGTGATCTCAGATGCTGCTCTCTCATGTTGGAACCATGATGAGGTGCTGAAGCCTCTGGGCCAAAACAAAACCTCCGTTTCCGTTCACTCAGAGCTGTGCGCGCGAAGCTTGCGGTTTATTTCCGGCTCTTCTCGCCTTTGTCCGCCTTCTCATTAGCATTTCTCAGTTGTGGGTGTGATGATGAAAAGATCGCCTGCGCGCAGCGCGGAGGCGCGCAGAGCTCGCGTGCGTTCAGAAGACGCGCAGCTGGCGGCAGGAGCAGCTCCTCTGCAGGACCATTCCTTCACTGGACTGAACAGTCGCTGTGTCTCACGAGGCTCAGGGTTTTGGACATGTCTCGGATCTAACGTGCCCCCCCCCCCGGGTAAAAAGAGGAATACCAGGCTTCTCTGGTGGATTTGGAGCCCAAGCTGTCCGTGGACATGGAAGACCCGCTCCATGTATCCGTCTGCGTCCTGCTGGTGCTGTGGGGATGCGCGCTCGGAGGCTCGCCCGGTGTTCAGATTGGTGAGAAGCTCCATGAGCCCAAAAGAACCAGTCCGGGTTTCATGAGAACAATTTAGAGACGGGAAGCTGCTCGTCATGCTGTCCACACACCTCACAGCGTTTTTTTTAATTTAGATTTCTTTATTGTGTTGATTTCAGGAGGACTTTTTCCAAGGGGCGCGGATCAGGAGTACAGCGCGTTTCGGATAGGAATGGTTCGGTTCGGCACGTCGGACTTCAGACTCACGCCTCATATTGACAATCTCGAGGTGGCCAACAGTTTTGCAGTGACGAATTGTTGTAAGTCTCGGATATGTTTTCTGTTTTTCATCATAAAAAAACGCTTTTAATCACAAGAGTGTGCCATGCACGAGGCTTTTAATATCCGTAATGCACCTGCTGGTGGGTGGAGGTTTGTCTCTCCACAAACACGGGTGGAGGTTTGTCTCTCCACAAACACCCAGCAGCCCCAGGAAAGTTGCTTTTCACTCCAACATGCACATCCATGTCCATTCCTTCACATTCAGACACAGAAACCTTAGTCTCCGTCAGACAGGTGTCTCTCAGACCACAAAAGGAAAAAACAAGACTTTCTTTGGATGGAGATCATTTTTCTGGTGCACAAAAAACAAAAGATAAATAACTGGATTCTTTTTATGATTAAGTGATTCTCGTGGTTAAAGTGACTGATCAGCTCGGAGCTCTGTGAGACCCTCCTGAATAACGATGTGATGTTTTAATTATTAACTGAAAGAGTTTCAGCTGATCCTCAGATGCGCTTTGACCTCTTCTAAATCATCACTTTTAATTTTTTTATTTGATCTAATCCCACATTCCTTCCGTCACAGCGACCCAGCTTGTGTGGGATGATTTTAAAGTGCAGCAGCAAACGCTCGCTTCATCTCCTACATTCATTAGACGGTTGCCAAGCGACTGCTGCTCTCAACTGTCCCCTAAACATAAATCAAACGCTCCTCATTGGCGCGCGCGCTGCTCCAATCGATGCCATTAGCATATAAACCTTCGTGCTTGGAGACGACGGATCATTACTGGTCCCTGGTTCCATCCAGCAACACGACGACACCCAGCTGGGTACAAATCACGTAAAGAGTTAGATGAGTCCGAGCTGAGGCGCGTGCGTTCATCTCGGATCAGCTGTTTATGGAAGACACTCATTTTAAATGTCCATGTGAGTCTGATCAGGGTGATATGTCAGCGATGTTTAGGTTTGCTTCCCTCCTCTGTAGATGTGCGTGCGTGTGGGGGCATGCACATCTGTGTTAAAATGGCCTTTAATCACTTGTTATCAGTGTTCCTGGCTTTATAAACCCACCTAACTTAGACTACTTACTGTATGAATCATATTTTTATTATAAATAAATGTATTTGCATTAAGCAAACAGAGAACTGTTGAACGTGTGGAGGTCTCTGATAAAACCCTGAACAAGAAACCATAAAATGCTCTCCCATGTTCTCTTTAAGCCTTATGAGTAAGTCAAAGATGATGGTTTGTGTTGGGTGTGTCAGTGACAAACTGCAGAGGGTTAATCTTGACTTGGTCTGGATTATAAAGCTGGATTAGAAGCACAGCAGTGGACAGATGAAGATGATGCTGTCACCTGTTAGCTTTGTGTGTGTGTGTCTCTCATCAGCACGTGTGTGTGTTTGCACTTGATCATAATTGACTTCTTGAGTGGGTGTTGGGTGGAGGAGGGGTCTGCTGTGAGGTGGAGTGGGTGGAGGGGTGGTGGGGGCTTTTAAAGCCAGTAGATGGCGGTCTGTGTCTCCATCCACCTCCATCAGTAAATTAAAGCCCTTAAACAGCAGCACTCTGTGTTTCGTTGAAATCATGAAGCAGCACTCAAGAAGGACTGAAAGGACACAAACCGACGCTTCGTTACGTAAAGAGCAGATTTAAATCCAACAGCACGTTCTCTGAAAACTTCTCTGTTCAATAATTACACACTTCAGCTTAGGAGAAAAGCTACATTTATTATTGACGTGGAAAAAAAGACAATTTAAGTCAAAGAGGAATCAAAAATAAAAAGAGTGCCATGTGCTTTAAGTGCTCGGGTGTTTCAGACATCTCTTTCAAGTTTGCATGTTAAAAAAAAGAACTCAATGCAAAGTCACACAAACTTTTTATTTTTCTCATAAAATTTGCACAATACTGTTCCCACAAAGATGGTTGATGTGCCTCTAATTAAACATGTGCAGACAAATGTTTTACTTTTGTTTAAAAAGTGCCTGAAGCACGATCAGAGCTGCGTTTCATGGACCAAACTAGTGGCGTGACAATTTACGTTTGAGACTTTAAAAAGAGTTCCTTTAGATGCATCATCAGGGATCCTTTTCATTTATTTGCAACAAACATCAACGGCAGAATGAGTGCTGGTTCCTCTCGCTGCACACTTCATCACTGCAGGTTGTCAGAGACCGTGGGAGGGAAGGTGACACATTCCTCCATCAATAACGGCTCATCTGGACAGACCCGCATCTTCTGCCAGCTCCAGAGTCATCCTGCACATGCAGATGTGAGAGCTGCATCCAGCTCTATCAATAAATCTGACTTGTGTTGGGATCAGAGCCACATCTCATAACCTCAAAATGACAAAAACAACACAGTTCAAAGGCTAATCGTCATTCTCGTATGCAAGTATGGTCTGATGTCCTCAGGCTGGTCTCAGTTTTCATCCTCATGTGAAGGATTTTATCTGAAGGGTGGAAACAGCAATGAAACCCACACATAAAGCACATGTATTAAATTATTTTAAGAATCTAAGTTAGGTCCTCTGGACAGATTCTTCTTGCTGACAATGTTTTTTTTAATTTTTTAACAAAAGTCTTTATCAGTCTGAGGAGCTGCAACAAAGTCAGTTTTATAAATAGCCCCTTCTCATAGTGAATCAGCAAGTTTGTTGTTGACATCCATCCATCCATTCATATATACAAATATATATACAGATATATACACTTTAGG